TGGATTCCTGACACTGGGTTTATGCTTCAGCACTTTAAATACCTGGATTTCATACAAGTCACAGTTAGAGATAAACTAATTCAGAGGGGGGTTATCCTGCTGTTGAAGGACTACTACTTCAGTTCCATATACAGGGACCCAGATGGTCTTCCATAAATATGAAACCATTGATTCCCCATCTTCCTCCGATGAAGGAGTTCTCCTTTCATACCTTCTCCTTCATGCCTTACTGGCATCAAACAATGCACTTCTACACAGGTCTTCTACCTTGTTCTATCCCAAAGCATATTATCCATTTAAAGCATGAAAAGAAATCTCTTGCTAAATTTCCTAAAACGTGGTCTCATGTTGAACACAAACATATAGATGTCTTCAGTGGGATTTGTGCATGTGCACATGCTACAAATATGAACAATTTTTGTTTTATTTTTTAATTTAGTCTTGTGGCAAAATCAATATAGTTGGCTACATTCACTCATGACAGGACAGAAATTTGAGGAAAATGTGGAAAGTAAGTTAAGCAACCTTGTACACCTTAATTGGCAAGTTCTGAGGTTACTTGTGATTAATTGAGGAGGTTTTCAAAAGCAGTTTAGCAGATAAGTAATTAAGCTCCTATGAAAGGACTTTCCTAATTGATCCTGCAACAAGTAACATGAAATAAAAAATGCCAGAAAAGGGCACAACTCAATAGATTTTCTCTACTGGAAGATTAAATCTTTGGGGTAGATTTTTCCTGTCAGCAGGCAGTGGGATATGTTTTCTGTTTTGCCTTAAGAAATCTTTTTATTTTCTTATTTAACTCTTCTAGCGATGAATTCTACAATCCCCAGCTTCTGTAGCTGTAGTATTCACAGCTCTTGTGATTTAAGTGAGTCAAGAGATGCGAAGGAAGGACTGTGTGCCTGAAAGAGCATCTATCTTTCTCCATCTGTATCAGATGGTCTAATAAATTATATTACCTCTTTACATATCTTGCCTCGGTTAATTATTGCTATTCAATGATGGAAATATAAATTTAATCTCATACTTTGAGCGAGACATACAGAATCTCATACAGCCTGCATGAAAGATATATTGAGTGGATGGTTGCACCAAGTGCCACACTCAAGAGTTCGGCAGTGAGAGTATTACATATGTCTGACTAGGATCTATTTTTGATGCATCACTTCCCACAGAACTTACTTAACTAAAATTCTGGTATGTGAGAGTTAGAAAGCAACAAAACCAGTTAAAATTACATTTTTCTAACTTTTGTGTCCCATTTTTCTCTCTAAATACCTTGAAGGGTGAAATGTCTTCCAAAATTACTCAGATTGATTAACTTCTAAGCTCAGGAAAAAAATATACTTACCTCAAATTTACATCTCATTTTTCCTGGGAAAAAGTTATTACACTTATTCTCAGCCCAGTAATTTTGATAGCTCTTGCTCCTTTTATTTCACTGTAGCGTTCACTGTAGCAGCATCACCGTGTTGTTGTTTCTTACTCGTATGCACTATTTAGCAGTGTAGTTAGGCACACAGAATACAGATGCTATTAAAACCCTCTCTTTTGACTGTATGATGAATTTCCATTAATTTTTCAGCAGCTGTACCCTACCACTTGCTCCACTGATCCAAGTCCTATAAGGCTCTTTCAAAATTCCAGGTTCAATTCTTACTGACAATGTCAATTGTTTAATCTCTTCCATTCCAAGACACTGTAGCAACAACTGCACTAACCTTTTGAAGACCCACTTGCTTTTCATCTTACTATTTTTTTGTAACATAATCAGGCACAAGGCAATAAAAGATACATGATCTTTCTTACTTCATAAGTTTGGAATGGCTCACATGAGACATGCTTTATTCTGTGAGTCAGAGACAACCTTTATGTTATACTCAAACCAAGCAAAAGTTTGCTGCTTTCATCCTCAAAAGACTGATGAGGATGCCCATCAGACCAATGGCAGAGACTCAATCAGATCCTACATCCTAATTCAGCACAGTATCTTTGCGCAGCTCTTTCTTTTCCTTTTTTTGGTCACCTTTAAAAATTCTGAATGACAGATTTTACTTTTGATGTTAGCAGCTTTGCTGTAGGAACACTCCATACTTAAATCAACAAAATCTGTGCTGGTTTTGGCTGGGATAGAGTTAATTTTCTTCACAGTAGCTCGTGTGGGGCTATGTTTTGGATTTGTGCTGGAAACAGCGTTGATAATACAGAGATGTTTTTGTCACTACTTACAAAGAGCCAAGGCCTTTTCTGCTCCTCACCGCCCCACCAGCGAGCAGGCTGGGGGTGCGCAAGAAGCTGGGAGGGGACATGGCCGGGACAGCTGACCCCAACTGACCCCAGGGATGTCCCACAGCATATGATGTCATGCTCAGCACATAAAGCTGGGGAAGGAGAAGGAAGGGGGGGGACATTCAGTGTGATGGCGTTTGTCTTCCAAAGTCACCATTATGCATGATGGAGCCCTGCTGTCCTGGAGATGGCTGAACCCCTGCCTGCCCATGGGAAGGAGGGAATGAATTCCTTGTGTTGCTTTGGTTGCCTGCACAGCTTTTGCTTTACCTATGAAACTGTCCTTATCAAAACTCATGACTTTTCTCACTTTTACCCTTCCAATTCTCTCCCCCATCCCACTGGGGGAGAGGGGATGGGAGGAGTGAGCGAGTGGCTGTGTGGGGCTTAGTTGCTGGCTGGGGTTAAACCACAACAACTTTGCTCTCTAGAGGATTATGAAAGACACTTGCTGATAAACATTGAGATCTAATTTCTGTGCACAGTAACATGCTGTTGCTTTACAGTGTGTAGTTGAGATAAAGAGCATGGTCCGACTTCTCAGCAGATACAGTATCACTTTCTTTTCAGTGTGACTCTTGTTTCTGAACAGGAGAACTGCCAGGTAATCAGCTCAGTTAGAGATTAATGCCTAAATGAAGAAAGAACACTGGCTGGATATGCAGTGTTGGCTAACAGAAAACTCTGAAAATTCCCTTTATCTACTAATATCCTGCTAGCAAAGCCAATTTTTGCATTGGTATCCCATCCGACTGGATTCTGTTAACACAGTATATTTTGGCTCCAGTCAAGTGTTATCGCAAGGTATAGAAATGAGATATACAAACACAAGAAAGCTTTGCAAAGAGAAAGGTTTAATGATTTCATTGTTTGAACCCTTTGCACAACCCAGAGAGCCTAACGGTACATCTGTTGGGAATAAAGGATCTCACCTTATGTGATTTATAGAATGCTAAATTCATTCATTTAGACCTCCAGCTCTTAAAGGAACCCTTGTAGGTAGATGAATCTTAAGCTAGAATAGACACAAGTCTGCAAGTAGATCTTGAACTTTCTATGCAAGTGCAAAGGCATTAGACCCTGATATGAGATATTAAAAAAAAAATAAAATCTTGATTCCCTCAGGTATGGAATACAGACAAGAAGCTGAAGAATTCTTTCAAGCAATGAACAAGACGACATTAAGTCTGCCAGTAGACAGATGTCTATCATTTGGTACTGGAAGGCATCTATCTCAAAATCTGACCACAAAAGACTTCCTTATGCACATTCTCAAGTCTTTAGAGGACAGATGCTCAAATACGTATTCCCTGTTCAACTCCACAGATAATGAGGACAATTATTTCCCTCTCAGATCTGGAATGTAGCACAGGCTTTCTGCTGACTTAACAGACTTTGGATCAGGAAATTGCTGGGCATGACCTCATTTGATATGAACAGCAGTTTTACTCTTCAAAGGGGAAGAATATTGAAGAATAGGACTTCCAGGAAATAATACTCATCTACCTATCTGCTGCAAACCACTGAACGCTGTCCAAAGAAAAGGCCGCCAGAATTTCACTATCAAGATTATGCACAGGAGAGGCAAAATTCACAAATGGAATGGATATGCCTAACTCTTCTTCCAAATCCTGAGCTCTAACATTGACTAATGGTAGCATATTCAGTTCCACTATTAATTGCCACTTGGTCCTGTTCTAGGTAGCTGGCAGCTTTGTGCTTCTCCCTTTCCTGAGGCTCGACAGCATTCCAAAATAAATGCTCAGTGCCTACTTGACTTAAGAGCATGGAAAAAATTCTTAGCATGTACTTAAATCCCACAGAAAATAAAAAGCCTACCTAAAACCAGTGCACCCAAAATGCTGGAGACTCCAGTGAAATTTTGTGTTTGCTTGACTTGGAGCAGGAATTTAATCCTAGGTCGTTCACTTGCAGGAGGGGGCATTAACTGCCAAGTCTCAGTGCTGCCACTCTCCCAGACTTGCTTTGCAGAGGTAACTGCATCTTCACTGGGCCAGAGGAAGAGAAAGAGGCACTGCTTCCACAAATCACATTTGTGAGCCTTGTAAAGACATGCAATGGGTATGATTTCACAGGGAGGGAGGTAGCCCACAACTGGTGCTATAACACTGAGAAAAGCACGTAGATTTTAACCTAAGGCATTTTTCCACATGGAAGTCTACACTTCATTTTTCTTAAATATATTATTGAGGCTATTATTATTTTCTGTTTCTTCCTTGAAACCACAGGTTCTTACACTATTAGGAAAACAGTCAGTGAAATTAGTATCAGCCTCAGCCTACTAAGGACCAAGCAACTTAGGCTTTAGCTTAAGGTGCTTGAGGTCCTCTAAAGTTGCTCTACAGCTTGCAAGTTCAAGCCATGTAATGCCAATTAGAAATGGGAAGGCAAATCTCCTTGGCTTTGTGTTACCAGCTGGTAGTCTGCATGACAGAAATTCAGGATTTGAAGTCTGAGAGAGTTTTCTAAGGTGGCAGCATCCTCTGTGGTAAGTTTATAAGAACTGAAATTGTGTGACGTGAACAGACCATTAAATGTGCCATGATTCTACAAAGTAGTCCTATACAGCTACAAAATGGGGAGGCAGGGCAGAGAGCACTCCTTTGCAAGTCTATCTGAGGCCTGGTATATGTCTTCTCAAACCACATGCAGATCAGATGGAGCAACATGACAAAACAGTTTCTTACCATTGCCAATGGAACAATTCCAACAAGATCCTTCTGGCAGATGAAGATTTCAGACAAGGTTATGTCTGTTGTCCCCTTCCGAGGGTATTCGACCTGCCAGGTGATGGGCTGCGTCCCAGAAAGGCTGCTGAAACTGGCTATTTCAAAGTTCATCTGCACGACCTCATTGAATAAACTGTTACTTCTGAAAAGAGGAAAACAGGGAAAGGGAAGAGCTATTACTTTTGCTGAAGAAGGCAAATGAAGTGAATCATATTAGCTATTGGAAAATACAGCTATTTACATACAGATATAACACAAGGTCTTTTCCAATCTACAACTTCTTCAAAGCATACAAACTGGAATTATTCAAAATGGGTCAGCTGCTCTTCCTATGAACACTATGTGGAAGGATAACATCCAGGATATTGTATCTGATGAAAGCAAAATATACTTATTCCATTACATGTTTTTTATGATTGTGCAAGTATCAACCCTACCAAAAGATGGATTTGACCCCGACCAACCAAAATTAAGTCCAGTGCAGCTCATGAAGACTGAAGAACCCAGAATTAGCGCAGCCAAAAAGAAAAACAAGATTCATTGTATATGTCCACCATCAAAATCACATAAATCCTTAGCAATGAAACTCAGTGTAACTGAAGTTCACATATGCTGCATGGAAGCTGTTAAAAAAAATTAACATGATTAAATGGCAAAATGACAAGATTAGTCTAAACTTAGAGGTATGCTCTGGAAATTAAAAACGTAGGCAGCTGAGACCAAATAGAAAGAACAAAGCTATGGCAGGTCAAATATACTATGAAGTCAGGAGGCATAAGATAATTTGAATAACAAATATGAAAAGACATGCTGAAATTCTTTCCCTTGCATTAAATTTCTTTAACTACATCAGAAATAAAAAGAATATCTGAAAGAAATTTGCTGGACTATCTGCTAATTTAATTTAAAAAAAAGGTACAAATTATTTGCATCAGAAATGATACATTAACTTTTCTGGAACTTTGCAAATGTCTTTCCACAGTGTAGAAAGTCTTAATGTTTCACAGAATATTACTTCAACTGAACCCTACGCTGTAATAATTTTAAAATTAAGAGGAAGACAGGCATCTTCCTAGCTTCAGTAACCCAGTCCCAGCTTCATCATACCTTTGGATGGATTCATCACATAACAGTTTCAATTTTTTCCTCTTTTTTTTTTTAATGTACAATACACGAAGGCCCATTTCTGAGAAAATCCATCAAGAACTGATCATGTTCAAAGCTCTTATATTCTCAAGTGCTAGACTTTCTTTTTACCTCTGAACAGAAATCACCATTTTTTATTATTTAAGACATATTCTGTGCTTTACTTTGCATGATTACTTTGAAAGCAAATGCATTCCCCTGATAATTATTATTTTGATTATGGGTTTTCATCTGGATGGCTTACACTGAAAAGTCTTAATACTGCCTAATGCTTTGGATTTATTTCCTTGCTGTTTTCTTGCTGTATCAAAAGAGAGACATTGTAACACTTCGCAATAGTGGTATACTTCCTCCATGCATTTAAAGAGTGATTTTGTGTAGTAATGCCATAGATGGATGGGTTTAGCAATTCATAACTCAGGACTAGCCTATTCCCATTCAAAGAGTTCCTACTAAATAAATCTTACAGCTTGTAAATACAAGGCAACTGCGATAACTGTAGTTTACATACTTCTGGGACATCTCAAAATGAATACCTACTGGATTGAACTTTGCAATTTATTTGAAAGCATGATTATATGCAAAGATACCTGAATCACCTGAGCTACAGCATTCATTTAGCTGTTAAAGGCACCATTATGCCTTAGATTAATGACACCTGAAATGCCATTATTTTCACCATTTCTAGATCTGATGCTTAGTAACTGACAGAGGAAAAGTTTTTACACGTGATTGACTATCGCAGTGCTTTCACTTACACTAAATAGAGAATAAATTTTTGCACACATCAAAGCTGTTCTAAGAGATAATACATGTCAGGAAAGTTTTCTTGATCAAGAAGTCTACACTTCTCTAACTAGCCTCTAAGCAGATGGGAAATATGTAGCTTTACAACAAAAGCCCCACAACTCTAATGGTAGGATCAGAGAGCTCTAGGTGGGAAGCTGTAGATGGGAAAGAGCTCAGTTCCAACCAGCCCACTGATTCCTGATGCACTGACTTAGGTGAGGGCTGATCACCTCCTTCTGGCTCCGAGCTCTCAACTCACACCACCTAATTTTCCCTCGTTCTTCAGATCATTTCTAAGAGTTGCCCGGTGCTCTGCTTGTGGGCTGTCCATGCTGTTCACCTGCCACTCAAATCGAGCCTGGCTTTGAGCTACCCAGAGGAAATGCCCAAAACAAAATCTTTGGGCATCCTGTTTCCATGTAGATTTCATGGCACACTTAACTACAGCCTGCTGTAGCTGGCCATATCTGGGCATCCACACACCCTTGTAAAGTCCTGTGGTTGAAAAGGGGCAGTATGAGGTGACAGCATCTTTTCTACATGATTCCTGAGATCATCTGCAGCACGAACCTTAGTTCAGAATGGCTACAGTTAGCATGGACACATGCAGACACATCTGGGAAGCTCTCCAGGGATCACGTTGCTGGCAGGGACCAGTCAGCTTTCAGTGTAGACGTAGGTTTTTTAAGTTACTGTCTCAGTATTCCTATTCCATATTTCATGTATCTCCTGTAGTTTACGTGTGAAGGGATTCTTCTTTTATTCCAACCTAATAATACATAGAGGACTCTAGTGCATCTTTTGGAATTTTTATTTTAAATCCATGATGCTCAATGACTTTGATTATCACAATCAAAGAAAATGTCAACATTTTTTCATCTATGATGCACCCTTAGTTCAGAATGGCTACAGTTAGCATGGACACATGCAGACACATCTGGGAAGCTCTCCAGGGATCACGTTGCTGGCAGGGACCAGTCAGCTTTCAGTGTAGACGTAGGTTTTTTTAAGTTACTGTCTCAGTATTCCTATTCCATATTTCATGTATCTCCTGTAGTTTACGTGTGAAGGGATTCTTCTTTTATTCCAACCTAATAATACATAGAGGACTCTAGTGCATCTTTTGGAATTTTTATTTTAAATCCATGATGCTCAATGACTTTGATTATCACAATCAAAGAAAATGTCAACATTTTTTCATCTATGATGCACGCACATACACATTTGGAGAACGACATGGCAAACTGAACCACTGTAAACCGCACTTGACTGCCATTGCCTCAGTTGCATTCTCAGCAATATTATCTTTACTGGATTCACAAACAACAGCCTGTATCTCTAAGAAGCACTAAACTCCACCTTAAACAAGTCTGACATAAACTGACTTCATTCCTCCCAAATGTAGAATTATCAGAATCACTCTTTCATCACTGACAGTTACATCTGCCACCATGTGACCTTCTAGGACTAAAATGAGGGGCTTACTGTCCATGCTCTATTTATATACCATCTGCTGCAGTGGGGCTTGAGGGTCATACGCTCCTAAATCTCTTTACCGTCCCCACTGTAGACATAGCTATCTCAATTTTGCACATGAGGACTGAAGGGGAGGCTATGTCACACACACAAGGTCATGTGAAGACTGGGACAGGGTAAGGAACTGATCTGTGTTTTTCCAAATCTCTTGTTAACCACTGGACCATCATTCTGGTATTGATGGAAATGGGACCCACAGCACTTGTTTCTAGTCTTAAATGGTCTTCAGTGTATGCATCTTAAATTTCAACATCCTTCTGTACATGAGGCATTTTTCTGATAACTGATGAGCTATACTGTGAAGGAAATCACTGCTATTGCCTTTTAGAACATTGCCTCAAAAATACCTGCTTAATTTGGATTTCCAGTTCTCACTGAGCACTTGGTACCACTCACTGAGCTCTTTCAGCCAAATACCTTCTTGACCCGTAACAAAGATAGGCTGCTTCTTTCCAAGGCATCAAGCTGTAGTGGTGGAGAGATATAAAAAAAATGGTACCAAAATCCTTTTACAGAATTCTGTAAAACTTTGCTAAAATATTTCTTCTGAAAAATATGTGATACAAAAATGTCCAAAAATATGCACGGTATAAGATAAAGGTTTTACTGGCACTTTTTCAGGATGACCTGTATAATTATTTCAATGCCTACATTTGTGAGTAATGCACCCATCTCCCTCCGTAGCGATAAAGCCTTTATGTAATGTCACACTATCATCAGTTTCCTCCTTCTCTCTTCATACAGAAGAAACAGAGAGATGATCAACAGCTGGGAAAGCATCCACTTGAAAAAAAATATGCCTTCAGAGATGTGTAATGGCTGAGAAAAAAACTTCTCATGAAGCACATTTAATGTTCAGAGCTTGTTCACTGACTGAAACAGCAATTCCTTAATATCTAACATTTAGAACTGCTCAGCAGCCGGAACAGCAAGTAATTATAAAACTTTTCTAAAGTACACAGCACGTAGTGATTACAAATGAAGCTTCATGAAGGCAGTGCTTCTAAGGAATTGCTCTGGGGTGGATATATGGGTCTAATTTGATTGGATTGAGAGTTCCCCTGGGCCAGTTCACTCCTTGGATTTATTTTAATTTATAAATGTGCTAATCATTCAGGGCTAGATTGGACCATGCACTTGCACAGGGGAGTAAGGACTCCCTTTGATCTGCTAAACAGCCACTCGGGCTCTGGGTGTGAGCACGCCAGCATAAATGAGGAGCACTGAACCCGTAGTTACTCCTTTGCTGGAGCAGATGGGCAATGATTAGGTGCTACTTATTGGTTACAGCAGCTGAGCCAGCAAGTTAGTGATGGGGTTAGTAATTTACTACTGGCATAGGCTAGCAGTGAATTACTACCCCAGGAGAATGAGGAGGAACTGAGCTGCAGAGCTGTGTGAATGCTTCCAAGCAGCACAGTTTTAGAAAAAGAAGGTGGAACAGAAATATTCTGTTAATGGGAAGATAATAAACGATGCACAAAAAGCAAAACAGAAGTGACATAGGGAGAAACTGCCATGGAACTCACAACCTCTTGCCAACTATATGGACAGAACACACACTTTTGATACCAGCTAGTGTTAATTGAACCGGGATTCTTGGTTTTAGAATATTTTTGAGTATGATATTAAGCATTCCTTTGCAACTACTTACTGATCACTCAAACCTTC